TGTTTGTTGCTCATGCTAGGCCTTGGGCCTGATTCTGGTTGATGTACCCATTGATCAAAACTTATCTTGTCATGTGTTCCCTGCTATTTACTATATAGTTAGCTATTTACTGTAATCAAGTCTCTGTTCAGCGTGCTGCTGTATGATCTGAGAGTTTTCAGAGAAATTCCTTGCAGTCTAGGGTGATCTGTAGCTCTATAAGTATTGGCTGTAGTACAATGGCAAAACGTGGGGGTGACACTATAGATGCACCCCGGAGACATATTCGTGTCTTTAGTATCTTACAGGATTGCAGAGCCACCACCACTACTTGAGTAGATCATACGAAACGCAGAAACGACACGAACAGCAGAGTATAAAAGGATGCGACACTGTATGGCAGTTCCCCTAGCCAAACCCCACCACATGCGCCGTTATCCTGCCAATTGAAAATTGTTGGAATCAGAGTGCGGTAGGCACCTCGTAAGCAAACCGTTCCTCTCCCGCCCACATCGGGAATGAGTTGGCTTGCGCTTGATAGTTCTCCGCTGGCAGCAAACTATCCAACTGGGACCCGACACAGCCGCGCTTGGCAAGAGGCCGGTGCTCGAAGCGGTCCTCAATCCACTGCAGCCAGGTGTGCTTCGCCGCGTTGATGGCGGAGAAATGGCCGCCCCGGGAGACAGCCAGCAGTTCTAGATCCCCCTGGTAGAGCTTGCACGTCTCCTGCACGGTGGTCCTGGTCGTGTTGTACATCACCGTTGAGTCTTCTGTCCCTTGAACGATGAGAAGCGGTCCCTTGAACGGCCGCTTTCCCGGGTTTGCCAACGCTGAAAACGCATCAGCGTACCAGGTCTCGTTCCAACCGGGCTGCAAGAACCCCACTTCTGAGTCGCCCAGTAAGGCAAATGTCACCATCTGCGATCCCTCGATCTGGTTCAAGAGGTCGATCCTGCTGACGCCTAAGGGAGTGAACCAGTCACTGACATTGAAGGTTGGGAAAACCGAGTCCAGCTCCTTGGCGATCCACGCGATAAATCCCGGGATGGTGACTGATAATGTGGCCGTCGGCGGTGCAACAACCACCCCACCGAGGTAGCCCTCTGTCACGTCAGTGAACTGGGGTCCATTGCGGGCCAGGATCTCGGACAGGCCCCAGGCGACTGCACCGCCCTGGCTATGGCCTACCGATACGTAGTCGCTTGACAAGAGCGTAGGAAAAGACTCCCGTGCTGATCGCAGTGCGTTCAGGGCATCGCGCGCACCGGCTTCGCGGATGTTGTACTGGTGCGGGATGTACCTTCCATCCCAGGAAGCGCCAACACCTAGCCCTGCGTAGTCAGGAGCAATGACAGCGTACCCAGCCTCCGCCAGCACAAATGGGACAAAGTCCGCGTAGAAGAGCCCACGGTGCGTTGAGGGGGCGCCGTTGGCGTACCAGCCGGATGTTCCGTGGGTCCACAGGACCACGGGGGCGGATGATGCAGTTGCGGTGTTGTTCAGACTGCGAATTGGTCGTGGGTGGAATGGCCACAGGATGTAGGCAGAAGCGGGGATCAGAGTGCCGTTTAGGTTGGTGGTGCTGTAGATGATGCGGGACATGGCCGTCTTGGCGGGTATGGAGAAAGGCGACGGGTCGGTGAACTCGTGGAGCTTGAGGGTCTTCCCGGGCTCTGTGGGCCATTGGTCCTTTGGAAGGCCCTGGATGTTGTAGAAATCGTCCTCGTGTGCTCCGCCGTTGGCAAGCTGAGATCGGTCGAACTTGGTGATTGAGTTGACGATTGCCGCGAGGTCACTGGTCAAGTTGGCTTGTTCGACCTGATCGGCGCTGAGCTCGAAAGAAGAATTCCATCCTGTCGACTGTGTTGCTGCAACTGTCACCGCTTGGCCGGCAGCCAGCTTTGCTCCCAGTAGGAGTAAGATGAAATTGTGAAGGTATGCGACCATCCTGACCGTGTCGGTCTGTGGTACTATGCGTCCGAACTTGGAATGTCCTGTGGAAATTGTTTGATGATTTCCGCAACAGCAGTGGACATGATGCCTGGTTTTATACCCGAACCTGCACAGCTTAGCTAACATCTATCTTACCCTCACCATATGAGGTCGGATAGGCAACTTCAATACCGAAGGTCTTTGTATAGCCCATCTACAAGGCTCGCTGGAAAGTGTACGCTCCGCTGATCGCTGCGCTTAGGGCTCGGAGTCGGGCGATGCAGGGCGGACTGAAGCACCGCATCGTATTAGTAATACGCCTCCCAGACGCTTCACGATCCTTACCAAGGCCTGTCAGCTGGTGAGGCTCAACATCGTGCTTTCGATGAGCGTATACGTAATTTCCACTCGGCATACTGTATCTACACTTGGAATTGGGGTTTGATTCTGTTGCTTAACTGTGAATCTATGGGCGAGTTGACTAGGCCTAAACACAGTTCTAATTCACTCATTGAGCTTCTAAGTTGCGTTCGCGGACAGCTTGTTCCCTCCAGGAAATGATATTACCCTCAGAATTTGTGGCAAGAGCAGCAATGCTACTGGCTTCTAGGAGATCGTTAGTTATGTCGATCATGATCAGCACAATTAAGCCGTATTTCATGGATCACAAAGGTCGTATGAAGATGTGATAGCTTTGAAGCACGGCCTGCATATGCCCCAGTATGACACCCCGAAAGAAGAAAATGAAGTTGATAATATTGTACCTGATGCAACAAGATACTTTTGGGGAGGAACGACGCTTGTACCCATGACTTATCCAAACCTCTTCAACAGATCCTCAACCGTCTCCACCAAAGTATCCTCCAAATTGCGATACCGCAACCCCAACACCTTTTGCGCCTTACTCCCATCCGCAACATACGTCTCCACCCGACTCCCACCCTCCTGGTACGGAACCTTGTCCTTCAGCTCCGGAAACCGCTTGCGTATAATCTCACACGCCTCCTGATACATAAAACGGCCCCCAGCGACCAGAAACCGCTGCCCGCCCGCTTCGGGCCGGGTATACGCTTGGTAGTGCGCCTCTGCAACATCGTGCACGTTGGCGAACGCCATGAAGTCATTCTCCGGGACCTCCGCCCGGGATCCATTGACCAGATTCCAGATTGTCTCGGCGGACTCATTCAGCCGATTGTGTCCTTTGTTCGGGTCGCCGAGAGCGGGACCGAACACCCAGGGCGGGCAGATGGTGGCCACGTCGAAGGTGAGCGGCTTGGCCTTGGCGGCGCTGTCGACCCACTCCCACACCTTCCGTTCCGCTAGAGCCTTGGACGTGCAGTAGGCGAGGCTGACGTCCGGGGTCAGCTTGGCCTCCTCGTAGCTGCACGGGTTCCAGTCCGCCTCGGTGTACCGGTAGCCTTGCCGGAGGCCCTGGGTGAGATCGAGGTTTGCGGCGAAGGAGGAGGTGAAGACGACGCGGCGGACGGTGGGTCCGTGAGCGGAGACGGCATCGAGGACGTTCAGCGTCCCCTGGATGGCCGGTTGGAGGAGGTCGGTCTCGTTATCCGAGACGGTGAGAGAGAATGGGCTGGCGGTGTGGATCACCCCGCAGACATTTTGGACGGCCTTGTCAAAGGCCCCCGGGGCTGCTATGTCCGGCACGATGGCGAAGGAGAGGCGCTCCACGTATTCGGGTGGATAGCGGGATTTGACGGTCTCGGCGGTCGACGCGGAGCGGACGGTGCCACGGATATTGTAGCCCCCTGCGAGGAAGCGTTGGATGATGTGCGAGGCAACGAAGCCCGAGGCGCCAGTGACGAGTATTGTTTCGGGCATTGCAGTGTAGAGAGACTGGTCGTGGTAGGGTCTTGCTTCGTGTGGAGGGGAATGAATACAGGGCGCAAATGGTTCCAAAAAGGAGGTCTTCCAATATGGGCTAATCTCGGAGGCCTATCGGGTTAATATATGAGTGGCATGACAAGGAATACGGGCTATGCGGCGTGGGTGTCACTGATACGAAGATGACTTTTCGAACAAAGGATACTGACGTCGATCATCGTAACATGTCGAGTGGGTACGGTGGGGGGCTTTAGGCTTTCTGAATACTGTATGTCCTTCCGATTAGGGCTAATCCTCCCGCACCTGACGTTCCCGCCATCTCCATCGATACGATCGTTCGGCGGGGTAAGATCTCGGTTTCGCTGGAACCGGACATGAGTAAAAATGACTCGGAGCAGCGAATGAATAAGATTGGAGACACTTTGCGCCCTAGTAGTGTCATATCCGTACCATCACATTGGAACTAGATGATGGCGATCGCCGTCTGTCACGTGGGAGCACCAGCCGCCAGGTTGAGATCACATGCGATCGTCCGACAAACTTCGTGAGAGAAACAATCCTTAGGTTCGCATGCAAAATTTATTCACTTATGACTATACTGTGGATCCTCGCTATAAGGAACCTCTTTCAAAAGAAATCCTCTATATAACGGACCTTTTGGGCAGGGAGTATCCGCCCCGGATACTAAATTTGTTATCTTCGCTATATAACAAAAATCGTGAGTCAAGTTTATTCTTACATAGAAAATTCGCTGTATAAAGAACGAGTTATACCTAGATAAGTAATGAGCTTTAACTGTTTCGCAAGGTAAGGTTTGTGATCAAATGGCAGGTTTTTTCAAGAAGCAGATAGCAACCAATACTATATGTATATACGCCAGAAGCTTTTGTTCGCTACAATCCAAATCCTCCCAAGAACGAACTGGTCGGCCTTTCCCAATTTATACGGTATACCGAGGATCCACAGTATTACCAACCAAACACGGGGTGAAGTGGCACTTTCATGGGATGACGGTCCTCCCACGCGCAAAGCGGCGGGTGACTCCGGGAACAATTCGGGACTCGGATCGACTCGCAACATCATTCGGAGGCCGAGCAGAAACGGCACATCCGCCCCACCAGCCTACCCAACCTTTCTAATCTAATCTGGTTATGATCTCATCACAGATGTCAGAATCCGCCTATAACGGCGCGTATAAAGTATGTCTTCAATCTCTATGCATAGTACGAGTCAGATTGACAACTCCCACCATGTTGACTGAAATCGACCAACGCGAGATCCATGTGATCGTCAATGACGAGTTGGACCCTATTTCCCCAAGTCAGAACCCGGCTGTGCAAGTTTCTAGCCGGTTCATGGGCATTCCACTCTCTCCGCTCCCACCGGGCACTGAGCGAGGTGACGCGCAAATGGAAATGCGCATGGACAACATCTGTTGTGCGGCGCATGGGATCTCTTTGCTCCTGGTGGGTGGGGCTCAAACCTTGTGCTTCTCGGTCGGGGACCCTTGGGAAGGAATCCAGCAATCACTAAAGAGGATAGATAGATCGCGACCAAAGGCGACAAAAAGCACTACTTTCTCTTTGACGCCGGGCCGGAGGGCGACGTCTGGGAGAAGAATTCCGGTCGCCTTCGCACCGAGGTGGGCCGCATCGAGCACGTGTTCTTGTCGCACTATCATCGCGATCATTCGGGTACGTGCTGAGAACTAGAATTCTCATGGCTAAAGAGTAGTCACTGATCTTCACTCCCAAGTGGCTTGACCAAGGCCATCGAGCTCATAAGAAAGCACGACCAGGGAGGCAAGAATGTCGTGGTGGACGTGCATCCGGATCGTCCGGCCTATCGCGGCGTGCAGGCTGATCGGCCCATCTCCCTGGAAGCGGACCCTTCTTTTGAGGAGCTGGAAGCCGCGGGAGCGACTTTGCTCAAAAGTGACCGACCGCACACCGCACTGGATGATTTCTTCCTGATATCCGGGGAGATCCCGCGCGAGACCAGCTACGAAGATGGTATCTACGGCGGACTGCGGTTTGATGAAGCCGCCAAGAAGTGGCAGGAGGATACGTTAATCATGGAAGAGCGTTATGTCATGTGCAATCTCAAAGGTGTGTCACAAACTCGCCATCTTAGCGAATCGAATCGTGGGACTTTTTTGACTGAGGTTGATGGGGCGGTGATGCAGGCAAGGGACTCGTGGTCTTCACCGGTTGTGGGCACGCTGGCATTGTCAACACCTGTCGCGACGCAGTCAAGCTCGGCAACGACACCCCGTTGTACTGCGTGGTGGGCGGATACCATCTGGCCGATGCAGATGATGCCAAGTTGAATGCAACCATGAATGATTTGAAGAAGCTAGAGCCAAAGGTGCTCCTGGCGGGTCATTGCACAGGCTGGCGGTTCAAGTGTCTCATTGCGCGTGAACTTCCCAGCTGTCTGGTGCCGTGTTTCTCGGGTAGTAAGTATACTTTGTAGAAGTAGTGCAGGATATCATGGAAGGATATAGCCTTACAAATTGAGAGAAGCGGCGTTGGCGCTCGGTTCATCTAGCTATGCTTATGGGCTCTATTTGGGGCTTATTTGAGAACATATTGTGCACCCGACTTCAACAAAATCTTTGCGTAAAGCTCATGCAACCACACCACCGGCCCTGGCATCGGAAGCCTGTCCGTCCGTCCAATGCCCTGAAAGAAGAGCGACTTGAACTCAAACTCGACAACATCATTCTCCCTGTCGACTCGAGCGGCAACCTCAATTAACGCGTCCAGTGGACGGAGGCCGCGAATGCAGGTTTTATCTCCACCACGAATGAGGATTGAGTTTGACGACCGATCAATGACCTCGAATTCCGCGACGATGTCAGTGCCTACTCTGTAATCGGACCGTAGAAGCTCGCAAGGGGACCAAAGTTGGTGTGTATTCGCATCGGGCTTATCCAGCCATTTGCGGAGGATTCTTTGCGGAGCAAACCCTGTACAATCATAAAAAAAGGTTAGAAACAACATAGGGCTTTGCTTGCGTCGAGACTCAATGCCTTACCAGCTCCCGCCCATATTCCCCCACAGTATCTTTCAAGAAGCTTCTTCGGATCCTCCCGGAGTGCAGGGTCGATCCGCTGCAGTGGCACCCTGAGGATGTGCAGGTCGTGGATGATGGGGTTGTCGTTGGGGTTGTAGCTTTTGTAGTACCTGGAAGTGAAGATAGGGTCCGTCGCGTTCAAGGGAATTGCATGAATGTCAGCTGTCGTGAAGTACACCCCCAATGCTAGGCAGGTACTCCCAGAGATGGCGGTGGCTGCCAGCACTTTCCTTCTGAGAGACATGATGGATGTTTGATCCCCTTACCGGCGAGAAATTTTGCGGCGCATACAGGATCAGCTCATCTACTAGGTATGTCTTGGTAGTGCTTAGTTTGCACAGAAAATACCCACCGAGGTCTATCTTGCTCGGATTTCCGAACGAGTGGGGTAGGTATCCGCGCCCAGCCACTCACAATGAAGGCTTGGCTTCCGGAAATACCAAGGGGCTTTCGGTGGTTAAGGCATAACAGGCGGTCGAGACTTTGGAAGCCTTTGGAAGCCTTTACCAAAGTGGCGGAGAGAAGATACTTCAGCTTTGGTTCCAGCCAGTGTTTTCATCAAACCAAAATGCGACAGAGCCTCGATCCAATGTGTTTTGTCATCAGAGGAAGGTGGTTAAATATGGTGCCTTATCCTTGTTCTCCTCCAGGTTACCTAAACATTGGTACACACAGTAGCCAATCTTCTCGAGAGGTTATACCAAACACCGGCTTCACCCTGCTCTGGAGAAATTACGAGCTATGATGTTTGAACTGCTTCGAGACACGGCATTCGGGAAGCTCGTTCGCATCACAAGCGGATACCGGCTTCTACCCTATCCCGAGGAATGTGACACTTCCATCGCGTCAAATTACATCGATAACGCAACAGAGGCCGGAGTCAAGTTTCCCGACCTGGAAGCAAATGAAAGCATTCTTGAGCCCAACGGGCTGCAGACTATCATGTCCCAAGCGTCGAATCGGTCACCGGGAGTCACCATCCATGCGCCCGGCCACGCGGATGAGAAGACCATCATTGTGGGATGGAGACCAGGTGACACCGAGGTAATCCTTGACAATACCTCATCAATAAAACAAGAGCTAGAACTGACTGGAAGATAGAATCCCCAAAACTGGAGCCTCGGCAAGAAGCTATTGGTCAGCTCACTTATCTGGCTTTTGACCTTTGCCATATACATTGGCTCAGCCATCTACAGCCCCGGTATTCCGGGGGTAGCGGATGAGTTTGGGGTAAGCACTGTGGCCTCAACATTAGGCCTAACGCTGTTTGTGCTGGGGTATGGTATCGGTACGCTTGTCTTTCTATTCCGCCACCACCTTCCTTTCTGACCCTCGAATCCCTTCGGACTCAGGACCCATGATCTGGTCGCCTCTTTCCGAGCTTCCGACAGTCGGCAGAAGCCCTATCTACCTCTTTACGCTTCTCGTATTTGTAATTCTGAACTTCGGCGTTCTCTACGCCAAGAACTTTGGTATGCTCCTCGCATTTCGCTTCCTTACTGGGTTTATTGGATCCCCAGCCCTGGCGACAGGCGGCGCATCTATGGGCGATATCTGGACCCCCCGAGCGCGTGACTATATGATTGTGGTGTGGGGGGCTTTCGCTATTGCAGCACCCGTCTTAGGACCTATGGTCGGCGGCTTTGCCTCAGCAGCCAAAGGCTGGACGTGGACTATTTGGCAGTTGATTTGGATCTCTGGCCTCGCATTGGTTGTCTTGTTCTTCCTGCTGCCCGAGACGTATGGACCAAACATTCTCTATAGACGGGCGCGGCGACTGCGCAAAATCAATGCAAAGCCGTTCTACTGCGAAGCGGAGCTGGAACTGCAAAGCATTTCGTCTACTGTATGTCCAGTTTCCCGCCTCCCCCCTGCCCCCTCACCCCCGGCGACCGCCCCGATTAGCCCTAACATCCCACTGCACCGCCTCAGGAGATCCTCTTTGAAGCCCTCGTCCGCCCCTTCCAGCTCTGCTTTCTCGAACCCATCGTCCTCGTAATGAACATCTACATTTCACTCGTCTACGGCATCCTCTACATATGGTTCGAGGCCTTCCCAATCGTCTTCCAGGAGATCCACGGCTTCAACGCCGGTGAGGGCGGTATGGCCTTCCTAGGGATTATCACTGGAACCATCTGCTTCGCCCTTCCCGGCTACTTCGCCTGGAAGTACTTCGTTCAATCCAAGCAGCCTACCAGCACGCCCGAAGGGCAGCTGCCGCCGGCCATTGTTGGCAGCATCTGCCTGCCCGTGTCGCTGTTCTGGTTTGGGTGGACCGGGAACTTCGAGTCCGTCTACTGGATTGTGCCTATCATGGCCTCAGCTCTCTTCTCGGTCGGGGGGTGCTTGATCTTCAACCCGATCTTCTGTTATTTGACACATGCCTACCCGCACTATGCCGCCTCGGTGCTGGCCGGAAACGACTTCATGCGGTCGTCCTTTGGTGCTGGCTTCCCCTTGTTTGCGGCTGCCATGTTCCACAATCTGGGCGTTGGGTGGGCGTGCACGTTGCTTGGAGGGCTGACTTGTCTTTTCGTGCCGTTCCCGTTCGTGCTATACTGGCGGGGGAAACAGCTGCGGTTGCGGAGCCGGTTTGCGAGACATGATATTTGATGTGATTTGTATGATTTGCGGGTCTTGAGGTGGAAAGACATTTCGTTGTGATAATAGAACGGTAGACAAACAGATTCCTGGGGTGATTGGTTGCTGCGAAAACCTGGGATGGAACTCCAGTTGATAATCTGCATGCTACTTTCACCAATTCACACACCAGGGACGCTCTCATGGAAATATCATCGCTTTGCTGGCATACCGAGGATAAACGAAGTGCTGAGAAGCGCAGGATATTCGCAAAGCGGGTTGCCCTGTCTTCACTCACGGTATTCACCGCTTCAAAGCAGACCTAGTCACTGATGCCCCCTTGGCTCTTATCTGGCATACCCAGAACTTAGTGGCTGTTGCGGGTCGTAACCCCGCACAGAAGTTCCGAGAGCTGGTCCGAGAAGGGACGGGGGAGATGAGGATCTGGCCTGAGCTCGAGCCCGCGGTTTGCCTCCCCCCACCCCTGAGTCGCCGGGCCAACGGTCCTGGCCTCATTGTCCTCTTGTCCCACGGCCCTGCCCACAGGGCGAGCCCAAGCTCTTCCCAGCTATGAGAGGATTCCAGCCGCTGTGGTCTATCAGACCGCATCCCAGGCTGCCGAGTTGGGACTATGCAGTATTCCCACGTTGCAGCATCTCTCCGGAAGAGCTAGAACCGTCCACTGCTGCGAACCGACAGTCTGACGCAATATGACTACCCACAAACCCGCGAGCTCTTCGCCCTGCCCTGCCCACTTCCCCGGATTTCGACTACGCAACAGAGGGCATGTTTCACACGCGCAACCTGACCTTTCTGAAGAGGCATATGCACGGCCCCTGCTTTGACCTCGAAGCCATTTGGGAAGAGAAGAGCACACTTACTATGAGTTTCAGAATCGATGTGTCGAGCACACCATGAACACTATGGTGCAAGAGCCATATGTGAATCACATCGCCACGGTGAGTGTCACCTGACCCCCCACCCCGGGTCACAAACCCGTTGGTGTCTTCGATTCCTGTCCGAAAGAGGGGCTGGGTATTCAGGAATCCGGCCGATACAAAGAACGAGCTTGTCAGTCGGACCATTGGCATCGACCGCGTGGTGGACGAATTTATCATGACATTCGCGCATAGCTCGGAGAGCGACTGGTTGTAAGTTCAACCGATGCTGTCCGTTCCCCTGATGAGATTCGTGTCTTGACAGGCTTTCTTTTCCCTTTCTCTCTTTCCATGCATGTTTTTTTTTTTTTTTTTGGTAGTTTCGTCATGCACCTCGAACTCACCCTCCTGCAGGATCCCTGGCATCTCCCCTCCAGGCCGGAAGCTGGAAATCCCCTTCATGGCGGTCTTTAATATCCGAGGCGACCGGCTCTGCCATGAGCACATCGTCTGGGATCAGGCTAGTGTGCTGCGGCAGCTCGGCTTGCTGCCGGAGTATTTGCCTTATCCCCATCCGCGTCCAGCTGGAAAAAGACCAACCCCGGGCAAGCGCCTGCAGGTCCGCGTTCCTGCCGCAGGCACCGAGACTGCCGCCAAGATGCGGAATAAGAATGCTGTACCATCGAAATTGCTCTTCAATGGAGGTGTGAGGGAGGTGTGGTCTGTGTAATGTTGGTGTTTCCCTCGGCATACCAGATTGTTATATCGTATATACGGGTTTTAGATACATGTATTTCCCGTTGGATCTGGTGGAGAATACGGACAAGCCTGTCGGTGGGTGTAGACTAGTCAATACTAGCTTCTCATTTGAAACACCTTCGTCATCTGTATTTTCAGTATTGCTTTGGCTTTGGCTGACCGGTCTCATTCACATATTTGAACATAGACGCCCAGACTACAGGTTAGGCTCTAGCTACAGTCCTTTAAGCAGACAGCAGCCTTGCCTTGAAGACCACACCATAGCTCCCAACTTCTCCTCTGCGGCTCCGAGTTAAGGTTTTCACCCACGGACGCATTATTGAAGGGAGAACCGAGCTGTCTTCAATCATGTCGCTATTGGGAACCTCATCCGCAGTCGTTCGCCAAACCTGAAGAACGCCAAGGGTAGCGGCAGCATAACCAATGCGATCAATGCTAACAACGAATTCCCCCACCCCAGTCCCAACGCACTATACATATCCGGCCCCGCCAGAGGTAGGACAGCCCCGACCAGTGATCGCAGCACGGTGTTCGCTGCGGCAGCCGATGCCGCCTGCGCCGTGAATGCCTCGACGAGATATGTCTGAATTGCAGTCTAGCCACCGTTTGTCAGCTACACAATAGTTTTCCTCCTATCTAGGCCACCAGTGGGGGGGCTGAACTTGCAATCTGGAACGGGAAAAAATTTTTTTTTTCAGCTTAATTAAAATATTCAGCTTTATAATATTTTACTCTATTCCAATCTTATAATAATTATTTAAAGCTAGTATTATATATTCTGTTTTATTTATATAATTTAGCTTGTAGTTAATACTCTTCTATAAAAACTTTGGATTAAAATTTTAAATAGTACTGTTAAATATATATAAAAGATTTATAATAAAAGCTTTAAAACTTCTTCTAGTATTTTAAAAATTTTTAAAAAAATATATTCTAAAAACTATTTATAAAAGACTAATATAAAAAACTCTTATTATTTATAATAAAGATTGTTTAGATTAGTTTTTTATAGACAGATTCTAAAAATCTGTTTTTAATAATAGCTAATTTTACTAATTTTTAATTATAGATTTAAAAGATTATATAATTTGTAAATATAAGCTTTTAATACTATAAAAAGTTCCAGCTTATTTAACAACTCGAATTAGATTTAGTTTATTATTTTTTTTTAACTGTAAAACTTACTAAAACTTAATCTATCTTATAATTTATCGGATATTTAATTTTTATTAAGTAATTAAAAGTTTGATTTAATACTATAATTATAATAATATTAATTATCTTTATTCTATTATAACTAAATAAAAATAGATAAAATATCTTTTTAAGCTTTTATATTTCCTTTTTTTTTATATTCTATCTATTTAAAAACAGTGGGCCTACTGTTTACAAAATCTATAATATTTATAATAATTTTTTTAATTATTTAAATTACTTAATTAACCGACTGGTAAGAAAGTGGGTATTTTAAAAAAAAAAGATTTTTAGAGACTTGCAGAATATATATTAAAAACTCCGAAAATACTACTATTATATCTATTAGATAGAAGACTATATTTATATAATTATAATTATTTTAAACCTAATATTAAAACTTAAAAAGTTTAAAAAAAATATCTGACTAGATAATAATACTAACTAATATTATAAATACTAAACTATTTTTAAAAAGATATTTTATTTTTATTATAGTTAGAATCTAATTATTAATATACCGTTAACTATCTTCGGATTATTATTAAATCTGAATAAAGTCTTTTATAATATTTTTAAATATTAAAGATTTTTACCAGCAGCCGAAATATTTAAAGAACTTAAAATATATTTAAATATTAAAAATATATAGCTTATAAAAATATCTTTAATTAAATTAATATTATTTTAGATATTATAAAATATATTAATATTCTTGCTTACTAAAAGTTCTGCTGTAATTAGTTTTTTATTTTTTATTAAATAGCTAAAGATTTTCTCTCGGTTACTACTAACAGTATCAGTATTAAATATCTATTTAATAGTTTTTAAAATATCTGTTACTATTACCGGAGCTGTTTTTATATTAATATAATTAAAATAATAATACTTTAAATATATACTAATTATTTTATTATTAATAAAAAGTACTAGAATATTTTTAATAATTTTAATCCGGATTTAATTATCTTTATATTTAAAAAGTAAGAAGAAAATAAGATAATTACTATCTTTTATATTAATAAAAATAAAAATATAAATAATCTTAAAAATAATTTAGAAGATAGATTATTATTAAAAATAGAAAAACTAGCTTTATCTAAATCTTTAAATATTATATATACTTAAATAAAAATAGAAATCCGGTCTTTTTAATTTTTCTGCTATTATAATTACTGTTCTAAACAGTATAAAAAATAATATAATTTTATTAGTTTATTTAATATCAGATATTATTTTTTCTATACTAGATTCTGTAAAAATTTTTTTTAAAATATAATATATTCCTCAGCTTTACAAAGAAAGAAATTAAATAAATTAAATAGATTAAGCAGATTAAGCAGATTAAATAAATTAAATAGATTAAACAGATTAAGTAGATAAGTCGGAAGGATTAGAACTATATTATAATATTAAATAAATAAGCTAAATCTAAAAAATATTACTATACTATAATTAAAAGTATATTATACTTTATATATTATTTATATAAAAAAAAATATATATATTACTAATTAACCTGCGGTTATTAATCTATCTGTTATATCTAATCTTTCTAACCGGCAGATATAAACAGTTAAAATAATAGTTATATTTTAATCTAATTATAACCGTACGGTTAAAATTTTTTTAAATCTTAATCTGACCGCCAGGTTATAGCCAGATTAAGATTAAGGTATAACAGTCAGGTTAATCTACTCTAACTAGTAGAAATAAGTAGATTTATATTAAAAATAAAATATATTTTTATACTAGATAGAAGTATTAGATAGTATATATATAAGCTTATAACTTTCTTAATTAAATATAAGCTAAAAATATTTTAGTCTAGTTTAGAGTAGATTAATCTGACTGTTATATCTTAATCTTAATCTGGCTATAATCTAGTAGTCAGATTAAGATATAAAAAAATTTTAACTATATAGTTATAATTAAATTAAGATATAATTATTATTTTAACTGTTTATATCTACTAGTTAGAAAGATTAGATATAATAAATAGATTAATAACTACAGATTAATTAATTATATATATATTTCTTTAATATAAATAATATATAAAATATAATATATTTTTAATAATAATATAATAATATTATTTAGATTTAGCTTATCTGCTTGATCTGTTTAGAGTGGCTAACAGCCAGGTCAGATTAGGTTAATTAGAATTTTTATATCTAACCGCCAGATTATAGTTAGATTAAAAGAATTTTTATATCTAACTATAGTATAACTAAAAAAAAATAATCAAAATAATTAATTATTTTTAGTATTAAAACTTATTTATTATCTTTATTTAGACTTTAATATAGTTAAAATATATCTAAATTAAATAGTTATTAATCTACTTATTTTTATTATTATCTAAAAATATATAGAAATAAGCTTTTTAAATTAGAAAAAAATAATAAAAAGAAGTATTAATATCTTTTTTATTTTTATTTTAAAAAATTAATTAGAAAATTCTAATAATATTAACAAAATTCAGCTTTTTATAAAATTAAAGTTTTTATAATAAAAAATATATAGAAAAATATATAATTATAGCTCGGTTTAAACTATATATTTTAATTATAATATATAATATTAGAAAAACTATATATTGATTAATAATTAGATTACTAAAAATAAATATATTATTTTTATTTTATTATTTTTTTTATTTTAGCTTAAATAGTTTATTATATTCTTATTTCTATCTAAAAAAACTAAATTATTTATATAATAAATTAAACTTAAAAAAATCTGTATAATACTATTTATATAGTTTTTCTTAGTAACTATATTTTTTGATAATTATTTTATTAAATATTATAAGAATAATAAATATTCTAAATATCTAATATACTCCAGATATTCTAAATACTTCAAATATCTTAAGTATTTTAAATACTCCGAATATTTTAAGTACTTCAGGTATCTAAATTATCCAGTTAATCTAGTATATTTAGTATATTTAATATATTTAGTAAATCTAGCTAGTCTATTTATTATAATAATAGTATTTATTCTATTTATTTTTTAAGCTGCTTTATAATAGTAAGCCACGGTTTTATATATTTTTTTTCTTCTTTTCCCACGCTTTAAATTCTTACATTTTAATATTAAATAAATTAGTTTTTAATTATTTGAACAGCTCTTACAGATATTATATTTTTTTTAAAAAGTTTTATATAAGTTTTTTTTAGATTTTTTTTATAAATATTAGAATAATCTAACTAATTTAATTAATCTAATTAATTAAAATAAATAAAATACAGCAGACGCCTTAGCTATATTTAAAATATAATAGATTATATTTATATCAAAATATATTTTAAAATAAAATAAACTATTTTTATGGAATTTTCTACTTTTTTTTATATCTATTATTTATAGAGTAGTTTTAGAATTATAAATTAATTATAATTATTTAGTTTATTTTTAGCAAATACTATTAAGTCCTCTTCTTCTGTTTTTTAGATATTTATAAACTATAATAATATTTAAATTAAAATAAGCTTTTTAAACTAATTTTTTTTTTAAATCTTTAGATTACATGTGTTATAAAGAATTAGAAGATTATTTTATATTTAATTTATAAAAAAAATATTTTATTTTTTGGAATTCATAGTAGAAGATAATCTTTTTAAAGTCTATATATAAACTTAAAAACTATTATTTTATTCCAATTAGAAAAAGATATTAATAATATAAAATAGTTTTTAGAAAAATATATTATGTTTTTATAGAATTTTTTATATCTATTATATTATTTATTTTTATATCCTATAATATCTGAAAATTAAAAATTTAGAAACTAGTTCTATAAGCTATTATTTTTATAAGAATTATAAAAAAATACTATTAATAATATCTAAATAAATAATTAATTAAATAGTAAATAAAAGACTATTATAGATATTTATATATTTTTTTAATATAAATTTTTTTTAATTATTCTTTTTTTAGGCCTCTACAATTTATAATAAATAAAATTTTTAAAATTAAGTTCTATATTTTATAATTATCTATTGCCTATTATTCCGAACTATTAAATATATTTAATTTAAATAAATAATTAATTTTATAGTTTTATTTTTCTACTAAAAACCAAGTTTTTTTAACTAAGTATAGATTAAAGAATATTTTTTAAAATTATTAAAAAATATATATATATAACTATTATTAAAGTTCTTAAATACTAGACAGATATTAATTATAATAAACTATCAGATTAGTTCTAATCAGAAAATATTTTTTATTTTAACTATAGACTTTTTTTAATAAAAGATATAGATTATTATAAAGTTCTACTAGGCTTCTAACTAGTATCTAGATCTTATATTAATAAAAATCTAGTTATAATTATTTTATTAGTTTTATATAAATATAATCTATTCTATTAGTTATTAGATATAATAATTAATAATACTAGTAATAAAAGTTTAATATTCAGTATAATTTTATTTAAACTTTGGATTTAGTTTAGCTAAAGTATTTAGCTTTATAATATTTTATTTAATTCTAATTTTATAATAATTATTTAAAGCTAGTATTATATATTTCATTTTATTTATATATTTTAGTTTATAGTTAATATTTTTCTATAAAAACTTTAGATTAAGATTTTAAATAGTACTGTTAAATATATATAAAGAAATTATAATAAAAGTCTTAAAGGCTTTTCTGATATTTTAAGAATTTTTAAAAAAATATATTCTAAGAGCTATCTATAAAGAATTGATATAAAAAGTTCTTACTATAAAGCTATCTGTAAAAAACTAATATAAAGAGCTTTTACTATAAAATTATATATAAAGAACTAATATAAAGAGCTTCTACTATAGAGCTATTTATAAAAAACTAATATAGAGAGTTTTTATTATAAATTTATTTATAAAAAACTAATATAGAGAGCTTCTACTATAGAATTATCTAGAGTGGCTAACGGCCAGGTCAGGTCAGGTTAATTAGAATTTTTATACCTGACCGCCAGGTTATAGCTAGATTAAAAAAATTTTTATACCTGACCGCAGTATAGCTAAAAAATAGGTAGTTAACTATTTTAACTATTTTTAGTATTAAGATTCTTCTACTATATCTGTTTAGGCTCTAATATAATTAAAATATATTTAGATTAAGTAATTATTAATCTAATTATTTTAACTATTATTTAAAAGTATATAAAAATAAGCTTTTTAAATTAGAAAATAATAACTAAAAGAAGTATTAGTATTTTTTTTATCTCTATCTAGAAGAATTAATTAAAAAATCTTAGTAATATTAATAAAATTCAGCTTTTTATAAAACTGTTATTTTTATAGTAAAAAATATATATAAATATATATAATTACAGCTCGGTTTAAACTGTATATTTTAGTTATATTATATAATAACTAAAAAACTGTATATTTATTACTAGTTAGACTATTAAAAATAAATATACTATTTTTATTTTATTATTTTTTTTTATTCCAGCTTAGATAGTTTATTATATTTTTATTTTTTATCTAAAAAAGCTGAATTATTTATATTATAAATTAAACTTAAAAAAAAACCTGCTGTTAAGTTACAGACTAGCAGATATAAATAATAATAAATAGAATAATAAAATAAATAATAAATTAGTAATATTTTAATAATTTATTTTTTTATTTTTAACTAGTTACTTAGTCAGGTTATTTTTAAATTTATAAATAAGATATAGCTTAAAAAGCTATAAAAAAATTTAGAAATAAAAAGATTTTTAAGCAGGTTTGGAATTATATAATAAATAATTAAAAATAGCAGATTTAACAGATTAAGTAGATTAATTAAATCAAGCAGATTAAGCAGATTAAACAGATCAAATAGATTAAGCAGATTAAGTAAATTAAATAGATTAAATAAATCAAGTAGATTAAGTAGATTAAACAGATTAAATAAATTAAATAAATTAAGTAAATAAGTTAAAAAAATTAAAACTATACTATAATATTTATATAATATTATTTATATAGTTTTTTTCGGCAACTGTACTTTCTAATAACTATTTAATTAAATATTAGATATTATATTTTTTAAAGGATTCTGTAAAAGTCTTTTCTAGATTTTTTTTATTAATATAAAAATAATCTAACTGATTTAATCAATCGAATTTTTATAATTCTAGGCTTAAAATATGATTTTCTGCTTATTAGATTTTTTAAAATAAATAAGATGCGGCAGGTGCTTTAGTTATATTTAAAATATAATAGATTATATTTATATAAAAGTATATTTTAAAATAAAATAAACTATTTTTATAGAATTTTCTATTTTTATCTTTCTATATTTATTATTTATAAAGTAATCTTAGAATTATAAGTTAATTACAGTTATCTAGCTTATTTTTAAAAAATATTATTAAATTTCTTTTTTCTATTTTTTAGATTTTTATAAACTATAATAATACTTTAACTAAAATAAGCTTTTTAAATTAGATTTTTTCTTTTTTTTTAAATCTTTAGATTACGCGCGTCGCAAAGAATTAGAAGATTATTTTATATTTAATTTATAAAAAAAAACTTTTTATTTTTTAAAATTAATAATAAAAAATAATTTTTTCTAAAGCCTGTATACAAACTTGAAAACTACTATTTTACTTTAATTAAGAAAAAATATTAATAATATAAAACAGTTTTTAGAAAGATATATTATTTTTTGATAAAATTTTTTATATCTATTATACTATATATCTTTATATCTTATAATATCTGGGAATGAAAAACTTAAAAACTAGTTCTATAAGCTACTATTTTTATAAGAATTATAAAAAAAAATATTATTAATAATATTTAAGTAAATAATCAGCCAGATACTAAATAAAAGATTATTACAAATATTTATTTATTTTTTAAAAATAAATTTTTTTTAATTATTATTTTTTCTAGGCCTCTGCAGCCTATAATAAATAGAACTTTTAAAATTAAGTTTTATACTTTATAATTATCTGTTGCTTACTATTCCGAACTATTAAATATATTTAATTTAAATAGATAATTAATTTTATGATTTTATTTTTCTGTCGAAAATCAAATTCTTTTAATTAAATATAGATTAAAGAATATTTCTTAAAGTTATTAAAAAATATATATATATAGCTGTTATTAAAGTTTTTAGATATTAGATAGATATTAATTATAGTTAGAGTGGCTAACGGCCAGGTCAGGTCAGGTTAATTGGAATTTTTATACCTGACCGCCAGGTTATGGCCAGGTTAAGGAAATTTTTATACCTGACTACAGTATAGCTAAAAAAGAAATAATTAACTATCTTAACTATTCTTGGCGCTAAGACCTGCCCGCTATATCTATTTAGACTTTAGTATAGTTAAGATATATTTAGATTAAGCGGTTATTAACTTAACTATCTTAACTGTTGTTTAAAAGTATATAAAAACAAGCTTTTAAAATCAGAAAAAAATAACTAAGAGAAGTATTAGTATCTTTTTTATTTTTATTTTAAAAAATTAATCAGAGATTTCTGATAGTATTAATAAAATTTAGCTTTTTATAAAATTATAATTCTTATAATAAGAAATATATATAAAGATATATAATTACAGCTCGGTTTAAGCCGTATATCTTAATTATAATATATAATATCAGAAAAACTATATATTTACTAATAATTAGACTACTAAAAATAAATATATTATTTTTATTTTATTATTTTTCTTCTTATTTCAGCTTAGATAGTTTATTATATTCTTATTTCTATCTAAAAAAGCTGAATTGTCTGTATAATAAGTTAAACTTAAAGAAAAATCTGTATAATATTATTTATATAGTTTTTTTCGGCAACCGTACTTTCTAACAACTATCTTATTAAATACTAGATACTATAAGGGCAGTCTACTATTTTTATTTTTTTAATCCAGTTAATCTCTTTTATTTTTTTTATTTAGTTAATTTTTTTAATTTATTTAATTTTTTTAATTTTAAGCATCCCAGAGACCTGCTATTAACTATACTAATCTTATTTTATTTATTTAGTTTAACCGACTCCTCCGTATAATAATAATATATATCTTAAAGTCTTTCTGTACTTTTCTTCTTTTTTTTTTTTCTTTTTATACTTAAAATTCTTATATTTTAATATTAAATAAATTAGTTTTTAATTATTTAAACAGCTTTTATAGATATTATATTTTTTATAGAAAACTTTATATAAGTTTTTTTCAGGTCTTTTCTATAAATATTAGAATAATCTGACTAACCTGATTAATCTAACTGACTAAAATAAATAAGATGCGGCAGGCGCCTTAGCTGTATTTAAAATATAATAGATTATATTTATATAAAAGCACGTTTTAAAGCAAAACAAATTATTTTTATAAAATTTTCTACTTTTTTCTTTCTATATCTATTATTTATAGAGTAGTCTTAGAATTATAAGTTAATTATAATTATCTGATTTATTTTTAAAAAATACTATCAAGCCCTCTTCTTCTATTTCTTAAATATTTATAAATTATAATAATACTTAAATTAAAATAAGCTTCTTAAGCTAGATTTTTTCTTTTTTTTTAAATCTCCAGATTACGCGCGTTGCAAAGAATCGGAAGATTATTTTATATCTAACTTATAAAAAAAAATACTTTACTTTTTAGAATTAATAACAGAAGATAATCTTTTTTAAAACTTATATATAAGCTCGAAAACCGCTATTTTACTTCGGTCGAAAGAAGATATTAATAATATAAAACAGCTTTTAAAAAGATATATTATTTCCCGATAGAACTTCTTATATTTATTATATTATCTATTTTTATATTCTATAATATCCGGAAATTAAAAACTTAAAAACTAGTTCTATAAACTACCATCTTCGCAAGGGTTGTAAGAAGAAAATACTATTAGTAATATCTAAGTAAATAATTAGTTAAATACTAAGTAAAGAATTATTATAGATATTTATTTATTCTTTTAATATAAATCTTTTTTAATTATTATTTTTTCTAGATCTTTATAGCCTATAATAAACAGAACTTTTAGAATCAAGTTCTATACTTTATAATTACCTATTATCTACTATTCCGAACTGTCGAGTATATTTAATTTAAATAAATAATTAATCTTACAGCTTTATTTTTCTACTAAAAATCAAGTTCTTTTAATTAAGCGCAGATTAAAGAACATCTTTTAGAATTATTAAAAAATATATATATACAGCTGTTATTAAAGTTCTTAAATATTAAAAGAATATTAATTATAATAGACTGCTGGACTAGTTCTAATTAAAAAATATTTTTTACTTTAATTAGATATTTTTTAACAGAAGATATAGATTATTATAAAGTTCTACTAGACTTTCGACTGGTATCTAAATCTTATACTAGTAAGAATCTAGCTATAATTATTTTATCAGTTTTATATAAATATAACCTATTCTATCAGTTGTTAAATATAATAACTAATAATACTAGTAATAATAGTTTAATATTTAGTATAATCTTATCTGAATTTTGGACTCAGCTCAGCTAAAATATTCAGCTTTATAATACTTTACTTAACCCCGATCTTATAATAATTATTTAAAGCTAGTATTATATATTCTATTTTACTTATATAATTTAGCTTATAATTAATATTTTTCTATAGAAACTTTAAATTAAGGTCTTAAATAGTACTGTCGAATATATATAAAAGAATTATAATAAAAATCTTAAAGTCTTTTCTAGTATTTTAAGAATTTTTAAAAAAGTATATTCTAAAAGCTATTTATAAAAAACTAATACAGAGAGCTTCTACTATAGTAGAAACTATCTAGATTAATTTTTTATAGATAGGTTCTAAAGGTCTTTTTTTAATAATAGCTAATAATACTAATTTTTAATTATAGATTTAAAAGATTATATAATTTATAACTATAAGCTCTTAATACTATAAAAAGTTCTAGCTTATTTAATAACTCGAATCAGACTTGGTCTACTATCTTTTTTTTAATTATAAAACTTACTAAAACTCAACCTATCTTATAATTTACTAAATACTTAATTTTTATTAAGTAATTAATAGTTTTATTTAGTATTATAATTATAGTAATATTAATCATCTTTACTCTACTACAATTAAGTAAAAACAGATAGAATATTTTTTTAAGTTTTTATATCTTTTTTTTCTTTTTATATTATATCTATTTAAGAACAGTAGGCCTACTGTTTATAAGATCTATAATATTTATAATAATTTTTTTAATTATTTAGATTATTTAATTAACTGACTGATAAGAAAGCGGGTACTCTAAAAAAAAAAGATTTTTAAAAACTTACAGAATATATATTAAAAACTTTAAAAATATTACTATTATATTTATCAGGCAGAAGACTATATCTATATAATTATAACTATTCTAGACCCGATATTAAAGCTTAAAAAGTTTAAAAAAAATATCTGGCTGGATAATAATATTAACTGATATTTTAAATATTAAACTATTTTTAAAAAGATGTTTTATTTCTATTACAGTTAGAATTTAATTATTAATATATTATTAACTATCTCTGGATTACTGTCAGGCCTGGATAAAATCTTTTATAATATTTTTAAATACCGAAGACTCTTACCGGCAGCCGAGATATTTAAAAAATTTAAGATATATTTAGATATTAAAAATATATAGCTTATTAAAATATCTTTAATTAAACTAATATTATTTTAGATATTATAAAATATACTAATATTCTTGCTTACTAGAAGTCCCGCCGTAATTAGTTTTTTATTTTTTATTAAATAGCTAGAGATTTTCTTTTAGTTGCTACTAACAGTATCAGTATTAAATATTTATTTAATAGTTTTTAAAATATCTGCTACTATCGCCGGAGCTGTCTTTATTCTAATATAATTAAAATAGTAATACTTTAGATATATACTAATTGTTTTACTATCAGTAAAAAGTACCAGAATATTCTTAATAATCTTAATCTGGATTCGATTATCTTTATATCTAAAAAATAAAAAAAGAATAAAATAATTACTATTTTTTATATCAGTAAAAATAAGAATATAGATAATCTTAAAAATAATCCAGAAGATAGATTATTATTAGAAACAGAGAAGCTAGCTTTATCTAAATTTTCGAATATTATATATATTTAAATAAAAATAAAAACCCGGTCTTCTTGATTTTTTTGTTATTATAATTATTGTTTTAGACAGTATAAAGAGTAGTATAATCTTATTAGTTTATCTAATATCAAATTCTATATTTTTTATACTAGATTCTGTAAATATTTTTTTTAAAGCGTAGTATACCCCTCGGGACTATAGAGAAAGAGGTCGAACAGATTAAATAAATCGAACAGATTAAATAAATCAAATAAATTAAATAGATCGAGCAGATAAGCTAAATCTAGATAATATTACTATACTATAATTAAAAGTATATTATACTTTGTATATTATTTATATAAGAAGAATATATATATTACTAATTAATCTATAGTTATTAATCTATCTGTTATACCTGACCTTTCTAACCAGCAGGTATAAACAGTTAAAGTAATAGTTATATCTTAATCTAACTATAACTGTACGGTTAAAATTTTTTTGTACCTTAATCTGACCGCCAGGTTATGGTTAGGTTAAGGTTAAGATATAACAGTCAGGTTAATCCACTCTAATTATAGTAGACTACTAGACTAGCTTTAATTAGAAAGTATTTCTTACTTTAACTAGATATTTTTTAATAAAAAATATAAATTATTATAAAGTTCTACTGGGCTTTCGACCGGTATCTAAATCTTATACTAGTAAAAATCTAGCTATAATTATTTTATTAGTTTTATATAAATATAATTTATTTTATTAGTTATTAGATATAACAACTAATAATATTAATAATAATAGTTTAATATTTAGTATAATTTTATTTAAACTTTGGATTTAGTTTAGCCAGAGTATTCAGCTTTATAATATTTTATTTTATTCTAATTTTATAATAATTATTTAAAGCTAGTATTATATACCCTGTCTTGCTTATATAATTTAGCTTATAATTAATATTCTTCTACGAAAACTTCAGATTAAAATCTTAAATAATACTGTTAAATATATATAGAAAATTTATAATAAAAATCTTAAAGCCTCTTCTAATATTTTAAGAATTTTTAAAAAAATATATTCTAAAAACTATTTATAAAAAACTAATATAGAAAGCTTTTATTATTTATAATAAAAACTGTTTAGATTAGTTTTTTATAGACAGGTTTTAAAGATCTTTTTTTAATAATAGCTAATTTTACTAATTTTTAATTATAGATTTAGAAAATTATATAATTTATAAATATAAGCTTTTAATATTATAAAAAATTTCAGCTTATTTAATAACTTAAATTAAACTTAGTTTATTATCTTTTTCTTAACTATAAAACTTATTAAAACTTAACCTATCTTATAATTTACCGAATACTTAATTTTTATTAAGTAATCGAAAGTTTTATTTAATATTATAATTATAATAATATTAATTATCTTTATTCTACTATAATTAAATAAAAATAAATAAAATATTTTTTTAAGCTTTTATACTTTTTTTTTTTTATATTCTATCTATCTAAGAATAGTAAGCCTACTATTTATAAGATTTATAATATTTATAATAATTTTTTTAATTATCTAAATTACTTAATTAACTAACTGGTAAGAAAGCGGGTACTTTAAAAAAAAGATTTTTAAAAGCTTATAAAATATATATTAAAAACTTTAAAAATATTACTATTATATCTATTAGATAAAAGATTATATTTATATAATTATAACTATTCTAAATCTAATATTAAAGCTTAAAAAATTTAAAAAAAATATCTAGCTAAATAATAATATTAACTAGTATTATAAATACTAAACTATTTTTAAGAAAATCTTTTATTTCTATTATAATTAGAATCTAATTATTAATATATTATTAACTATCTCCGGGTTACTATTAGGCCTAAATAAAATTTTTTATAATATTTTTAAATATTAAAGATTTTTATCAGCAGCTGAGATATTCGAAAAACTTAAAATATATTTAAATATTAAAAATATATAGCTTATAAAGATATTTTTAATTAAACTAATACTATTTTAAATATTATAAAATATATTAATATTCTTACTTATTAAAAATTCTACTGTAATTAGTTTTTTATTTTTTATTAAATAACTAAAAATTTTCTTTCGGTTGCTACTAATAGTATTAATATTAAATATTTATTTAATAGTTCTTAAAATATCTGCTACTATCGCCGGAGCTGTTTTTATACTAATATAATTAAAATAATAATACTTTAGATATATACTAATTATTTTATTATTAATAAAAAATATTAGAATATTTTTAATAATCTTAATCCGGATTTAATTATTTTTATATCTAAGAAGTAAAAGAAAAATAAGATAATTATTATCTTTTATATTAGTAAAAATAAGAATATAAATAATCTTAAAAATAATCTAAAAAATAGATTATTATTAGAAATAGAAGAGCTAGCTTTATCTAAATCTTTAAATATTATATATATTTAAATAAAAATAAAG